GAGTAAACAGATGACGTTTCCTAGGTAACATAACAATGCATACAAGCTGACCATTGTTGTCAGTCCATATTTACAAATTGTTGATATTTCCTAGGTAACCATGTTACACATTTTCCTGTCACTTTTTTGTAAAACTTTTTTGCGGAATGACCCTTTAATATAGACGTATTTACGTCAAAAATGAATGTACAATTAAAAGTGGCCACAACACGGAATGAGCTGACGCAGAGTTACAAAACCAAGTTTCCACTCAAACACTGATAATTTCTTTCTGTAATATGTGCATGAACTGTCAAAATTTGACACACTGTTCACTTTCTTTAATGAAAAATAAAAAATAAAACACCAGTACCTAAATTTGTGTTTATTTTCGTGTAAATCCTACAACCATGTTTAAAATGTGAAGAGAAATTGTGAGATATATGTGTTGTAAGTCATGTAATGCTAGATTTAAAATTATTTTGCATGCAAAGTACATTGGATCAACTGGACTATCAAAACTTGAGAAGTCTCTCAGACCTCATCACTGTATGTGCTACACAAAGCCCATATAATTGGTTAAGGGTTAATGAGGTTCCAGATGTTTAAAACATTCCTGAAATATAAAGTGAAGCTTTCTGGCAACTGAAGTTGATGAAAGACTCTCGGGTTACAAGCTGCATCACGTGGCTGAATGGTGAATAAACCATATCTTTTGCCAACGTTTCGAGAGCAATCTCTGCTCCCATTGGTGAGCACACTACAAAACATCAGACTTGTTACACAGCAGCACTGAGGACGACAGCAGAGACTGTTCTAGAAACATTGTTAGACGATATGGTTTATTCTCCATTCAGCCACCTGATGCGGCTTGTAACCCAAGAGTCTTTCATCAATTCCTGATATACCTATAAGGAGCCATAAAAGAAATTTTCAAAGAAAATTTCAAATATGTTTAAAAAAATCACTGCACTGAGGTCTATTTGAAACACAAAATTCATCTGTATATTTGATGGTTTCAGGAATTATGTTAAATGTACTTTCTGAGTCTCCAAAATGTATAAGATTGCTGCAATAAATCATATGCATTCCATTTACAGTTAATTTAGATTTGGAACAAGTCAGTGCACAAATTCCCAGAATAAGCAAGATATAGTAGAAAAAGTACATTTTACACTTGATTTTTACATATAAATATAATTTGTATATAATGAAGTTTTAAAATTCCAAGCTATTATTTATTAATATTATGCTCACCATGTGTTAGAGGGCTCAAGGTTAAGCAGTGGTTGAAGGACAGCACTCTGAACACTGAGCTGCTAAAGCAGGCATGAGGCAGTCAAAGCTCTTCATTAGAAAGCCTTCTGACAGACTATATAGAGACCTAATTGTCTTCGGCAGAAAACAATGTATCCTGGGAACTGTCCATTGTACAATGAGGTGGTACCTATATGTCATGGGCCTCTCAGAAAGTGCTAAGTGCATGAATGTGGACAGAAGCAGGACTCCTCCTGATGTAATACTCTGCCAACATATTGTAATATTTTGAAAGCTGGATTCTGCTTCCATTATCAAGTTAAAGAAGAGAGAAAGAACCTATTTGTTGGGACCACTTGATCAGGTTTGAGACTATTCCCTTCAGCAACCAATTCTCAAACATTCTTATCTCAGTGTGACTGTACAGACACCGCAGACAATATTTTAAGAAACCAATTAACCTTTTTATATACCATAAAGCAACACAGAAAATGTATCTGATTCAGTCTCTATTGGAATCGCATGAAACCTTTGCATACACTTTACAGACCTTATTTTATTTTTGTTTTACCAAACCCCAGTTAATCTTACCTGCCCAAGCATTCCATTAGGGGCAGTCCAAGTGGTCACTATAACAAACTGACTGAAACAGAAAGTCTGATCAAGAACACCACAGCTTCTTCTGTAGTCCAATTTCCTATTATGGTAGAATTATTTCAATGTTGAAGTTTATGTTGATGGTGCCATTTTCTCTCTAGTACCAAGAGGATACCTGCCATTATGACACCTGCAGCCAGGACAACCAAAATGGGTGTGATGCTGTAAAAGTCAACCGTGTACCAGGGACTTTTCAATTTAGGCAGCTGTGGTTTCCACCACTGAACACGTAGGCGTTTCAACACTCCTTTATCCCTCAGATCATGCAGGCTAGAACAAAATAAAGGCAAGTTTTCTGGGAAGGAACAAACACCAACCTACAATTTTTACCATTTATGTATTTGGTTGAATTTGTTAGTATTTCTTTCTGTTACTCCCATGTTTAAATAAAAGATTTGCTGCATAGGTACATGATACTGCAACAAGGACCAAACAAAATAAAAGTAACATATATTACATGTATTCTTATGTACTACAATTCAAACATACAAATCAGATAATGAATGCAGCACCACAAGAAATGTTTATAACACACCTAACACAAAACTCTAGGCAGCCATACTTAAATATATACATAACATTCCTGTAAGTCAGAATAAGACAAGCACTCCAGGGGAGTACATTGATAGAACTTATTTTATTATTACAGAGAGACAATTAGGTTTATAATAATTTGGTGGGAATATAAACTGACGTCAAGTGCTCATCTACTCTCAGACCTGGTCTAACTAGCTTAACCAAGAGGCCCAAGAGATAAATTTTCTGTCCTCTTCAGCTTTTTATCTGAAGATGTATCTATAATTCAACTTCTGAAAAGTTCAAGAGAATTACTTACTTGTAGTCAATGATCCCCTTGTAGGGACTGTTCTTGATAAGAGCAAATGTCAGGCTGGCTGGAAAAGACTCACTGGGCAGTGCCATGACTCTGCATGCAGCATGTTGCCAGGAGACTGCATAGACTGTGGTCATGAAAGCATACTTGCCCAAGCAAATCCGCCTGACTCCTTCCTCAGCTGAGGATGGCAAATTTGGCTCATTCTGGATCAGCTTCTTGAAGACCTCGTGCATGTGAACATTGACTGAATTCTACACAGGACAGAAATCAGCATTCAGGATTAAGTTCACTCAGCAATGTTTTAACAGTTCTGTGTCCACATTCATTCATTATTGATGCTGTTGAACTTTGAGGAATACAAAAAGAGAAAATCTAATCTTTTCATGACCTCCTTCGGAAAGCCTTTCTATGGTCCCTCAAGTTTCCCATTCCCATTGGCCACCCTGTGCCTATAACCTATCAACATCCCAACTTGATTTGTTATTGTTGCAAAGGGGGACCACTCTATTTCAGTGGAACTGCAGTTGCTGACATTGTCCAACTCCAAGATGATATATGAGTGAATGTACAGCTACATCGCAGATGACAACCATCTTCATGCTCACTGCTGTGAAAACCTCAAATTTCATCGAGTCATAACATAATTCACATATTTATATGCTTTTACTTCCATCTTAAGTCAGAAACTGTAACTGAAATTATAAATTGAAATAGTAATAAAAAGTCATGTATCTGGCCTTGAGTAGCACATAACCAATCATAACAGGAGAATGGCTGCTGATGGCAACAGAACTGTTTTGACAGAACAGAATTTTCAGATATAAATACTGTGCATATCTTATTGCTTTTAATGGAAGCTCTAGACTCAAGTAATGATGATGGTGATGATTATGGGAAAAGTGTGACAATGAGTCCCTTCATATAGCGGTTTCAAATGTGCCTGTTGTACCAGTCACTGATAATTAATTGGCAAGTATGGAGCACTGGTTAGCCGAGGAAAATAGAAGTACTCAAAAGACCCGGACCATTATGACAAGAATCTGGTTAATAATTGCCTGGGAACTTGGCTGGAGTCCAGCCACATTACGCTCATAAGTAAACCATGTTCAATTTCTTACTTCAAACAATCTGTACTCGGCTGAATTTTCCATGACTCCAAGTTTGTAGGATCCATCCTTGAGAAGTCCCTGGAGATCCTTGAAGGGCATTGCTACACTCTTTTTGGTGAGGAATGAGACTAGAGCTGCAGAGTAGGCAGACAACAAAATTACAGCTATCAGGTATGCTGTCAGGTACACGAGACGACATGAACCTGAATTCGGTGTGAAGTCATGTCCTGTGAAGAAAAACTAAACTGGACCTAATGCTTCTTGCTGTCTGTAACATTGCAAAGCTACATTTACTTTCTTTCTTGTGCAAATTGAAGTGTGTCTCAATGTTCGTCTTTTCTTAGCAAAAGATTAGATGCAAGAAAAATATCAAACACATGCTCTGTTAGAGCTGTAAACTAAATACACAAAGAAAACCAAATGTGTATGTATACAATGCTGCCAGAATGCAGGAAAAGTCATAATATAAAGATAGTTAATAAATTATATGAATATGTGGCAAAGTTCAAGTAACTTGTAAAAAAATACCTGTAACAAGGGCATATGATTATTAATAATTAAAAGAGTATCAAGAATAGGATGATTTTTTAGGTTGCATGTTGACTGATGAAAACACTGTAGTGATCTAAAGTTCAAGTATATGGGAATGACTGTAACAAATAAAAATGGGATTCATGGACAAATTAAAAACAGATGACATTCCAGAAACGCATAATACCATTTACTTCAGAATCTGTTATCATCAAATTTCGTATTTAAGACCTTAAAGATTAGAATATACAACACAACTATAATTTTATGTGCTGTTTAATATAGGACTAAAATTTGGTCTTTCACTCTAGGACAGTGTTCTGTAACTTTTTTTAACCTGTGACATACCATGCAATGTCAATGACAAGTGATGGAACACCACAAAATTTTGCCTCATGAAAATATCTACATATCATCATCATCAGTCCGGCTTTCAATGTTGAAATTTGGTGACCCATCCGTGATGGGTTTTCTTGGGAAAGAAAATCTTGAGGTAGTTTGCAGTTGCTTTCCTCATATCTACATATAAATCAATGCAATATAAGAATGCAGGCACATGGAAATAAAATACAACACATGTTGAATAAAACTGTCAGTAATGAACCTGTGTGTGTGTGTTTTTTTATGAAAGATAAGCTATTGTCTTTTATGAAATAAAATGTGCGAATACACAATTTCTTATAAAAATTTGTAGCACACCTGAAATGTTGTTATGGCACACCAGTACACCATCGCACACTGGTTGCAAGTCCAAACTGAGTAAACCATGATAAACATAAATTTGAATAACCATTCTCAAGATCTGAATAACAGGTTTCTTCACAAGCTATATGCGGAGTCTGTTCACTTTATCAATAGTTGAAATTAATTATGTACCCTCTTACCTTGTTGGCAAAATATACCGAAGACACAGTGTAATGAATCATACAGACTGTATCTTGAGGGACCATCAGCTTCTGCATTACCACAGCGACGACCTAAATTATGGAGTGTTGACAGCAGAAAGGCGAGAACAAGCACCGAGGCACAGACTGTGAGCCATAAGCCCGTAGAGAATGGCTGCAAAAAGTCATCCCAAGAGAGGACATCATGTGACAACTGCTGTATGAACACGTAGTACCTGGAAGTTAAAGTAATATCAATTGTTTTATTTATATTAATTTTAAAATACCAACACAAAACCAAAATTAAATTATTAACCATAAATGTCTACCAATATGAAAAAATTACAAGTAATCAATGGTAAATGCATAGCACTGTTTGCTTGTTTTAACTCACAAGAATAATGGGGTTATTCTGTAAAAGGAAGAAGCAATCTGTACCATGAGCTGGGATAAGGTGGTTGCTTGTAATTAGCATGAGCAATACACTTAATTTCAAATCAGCACAAATCCATTAGATGTTATTTGTGAGTAATGGTAATTTCAAGTAGTGGCTGTGATCACTGGCAATATTAGGTTACAAGCTACTTGTACGGCTCACAAGCAGGAGAAAGGACATAAAAATAAAAGAAGGTTCTGAAGTGGGAAAAACATGAAAGGTAGGGTACTTCACTCTGTATGTGAAATGTTTGTGCTGCTCCATTACGTATTTAGTTTGTAACACATTGATGTATTTTCTTTGCGGTGCAGGGGCCAAGCATCAAGCTGTGGTCAGCAGGTTAAACAGTAAACTCCATGAAGTAGGTTTGTGATGGTGACTATGACCTATCCAGATAATTGAGCGTCGGTGAATAAGCCTGGGTATTGCCAGCCTTGGCTAACTGAAGGGACAGACAGTTTTTGTATTTTACTTATATTTGTATTTCCAATAAAGTACTAATTGCTTGCATCCTTCAACCTCACTGTCTCATGCTTCATCCCCTCTTACACCAATGAGTCCTTCAGAGCACACAAGACAATCAGTGGGCAAGAAGATATGTTCTTTGGAGAGTAGCAAAGATAATTATTCACTTGAATGTTTAATGACTATTAGTTCTTTCTGATGATTGTGTGAAACGGACCACTTGTCGGGGTTTATTTTACAAGGGTAGATTCTAATAAAACAGATAAACACCAAGCTGAAGCAAATCTTTTTACAAACATGCATACTGTGTTAATATGAATTATATAGGCTACATTTAGTAGTTATAAAATGTTGAAGATTTCTGTCTTCTGGGTTGTTGCACTGTGTAGTCTGGTCAATGTTAACCAACGTTTCAGAGATCATACTGCCTTCGTCATCATGGCGATGAGTATTCATCTGAAACGTTGGTTAACATCGACCAGACTACACAGCGCAACAACCCAGAAGACAGAAATCTTCATACTCATCGCCCTGATGACGGAGGCAGTATGACCTCTGAAACGTTGGTAAACATCGACCAGACTACACAGCGCAACAACCCAGAAGACAGAAATCTTTATACTCATCGCCCTGATGACGGAGGCAGTGTGACCTCTGAAACGTTGGTAAACATCGACAAGACTACACAGCGCAACAACCTAGAAGACAGAAATCTTTATACTCACCGCTGTTAAAACCTCAAATCTTATAAAAAGTTGTCATACAACCCACCTTGTAAATATAAGTGGAAATGTGAATTCCACAGCTCCCAAACGTTCTTTGGTCATGGTGAACTCACTAAGCGCTACATCCACCTCCTGAGTCCTCAGCATTTTAATCATACCATTCCACGACCCATTAACAAGTGTACCATAAGCAGTAGCTCTCCTAAATGATGTCCTGAAATGGCACGTAACACTAAAATTTGATTCTTAGTTCTAATGTTAACTGAATCTCTTTTTAAATATCAATTCAAAGCTGTTTATGGGGAAAATTACAGATTATCTACAATGGTAGTTTCTTTTATGATTAATACAATTTCTCAAGCAGGCAAAGTCTCTTTATAGCTGTATGAACCTTGAAGAAGATATTTTTAAATTCCATATATAATTAACAAGCTGCTATTAATGTTATTTAAGACATCCAACTTCAGGTACAAATTTCAAATGTTAACTGCATGTGTGAAAACTGAATGGGAAAGGGTTCCTGAGGTCTGAGAGAGCCCTCCAACAGATATTCTTATAACATTGCTCATTTATGCAACACATGTGAATACTATAATCTTAAAATTGACCCAACTGTGTTAATTTCGTATTTTATTGTTTGATATATGTATTTAATGCTTAGTCTGCTAATCACAGTTTTTTTAAAATATAATATAATATATTTGAAAAAATATGTACTTCTTGGAGAAGCATGCCATTTTTCAACTCTTCTTATTTGAAAGGATGTTTGTTGACTTTCATCTCTCAATTTAAAATCTAGCCACACAGGAAGAAAACAACATTAGTACACCTACTCACGAGAAATTCAATCTACTCTCCAACATGGACCACACACTGCCAAAGAATCCATCAACTGTTACTATTCCATCTTTTGATTTCCTTAATATTGTAACTGGAGGATTCTGTAAAAGAAAGAAAGCCAGTGATGATGCATAAGACTAGCATCTAGCAAGATCTATTAAAGTAAAACATGCATCCTAAATATCTGTAAATAATTTGAAAAACTGTTGTACAATCATTTCAAAGGCTTTTATAATTTAAGTTGCCTTTAACTGCATTCATTCAATCCTGTTCCTGTTGCAATCAAACCCCGGTTATCCAGTCCATAGTAAGTCACTGTACCGACTGAGCTGCCCCGACCCGTCCGAAAATTTAACATACAAAAGGGGGTAATGTCCAGTGGAATTAAAATCATGCCAAATTTAGTCAAAATCTGTCATCAAATACAAAAGGCTACCTTCACTTATAATGAAAATCGTTCTTGTAATACTTGATGAATCTTTGTTAAAAATTTTATTCCAAATATAAACGTATTCTTCATTTGGGGAAGTTCTTTTTTATCTCAGAACTGAGTAAGCACTGCAAAAGACTGAATACAGATAGCCCTCGATTTGCGCCGGTTCAATTTGCGCCGATTCAGAATAACGCCGATTTTGAAACCGGCAAGTCAAAAAGTGAAATAAATATTATATCTTAATTGCATCTTGCTTGTGTTCCTCAATATAATAATTTTATTTTCCGTCCTTACACAAGCTTATAGATTGTTAAAATTACATAAAATTATAACATTTCAACATTTTTGATATTGTTACATTTTAAAATG